GTAGCGCGCTGCGCACCCTCAGATCACAGTTCACACTTTACTCTCATGTTTTGCGTTGAGGACCTTGAGTCGGGGAGCTCTGGCGCCGCCTCTGCGGTACCCGTGGGGGAGCAGGGTGAGGTCATGTACCAGCCGGGTCACCTTTGCCTTTGGTTTCTGGTGTTTCTTACGCCTCCTGCCCAGGAGCAGCCCTAGACGAGCTGCCGGCAACTGGCGCCGTAGGCGAAACGCGCGATCGGCGCCCCCGCCTCCAAAGCCCTCAATGGCCTTCCTTATCTGAATGGGTTTCCAAGTACCTAACAACTTGTTATTAACAATGGCAAGAAAGATCCACTTGGTCATACTGTAGTTCATTCCACTAGGGTTTTGCTGCCTGTTGGAGGAAGGCTCTTATATCTGAAACATGTAAAGCAGCTACATGGAGGACGGTCAAGGGGGCAAGGAAGCCCCCAAGCCTCTCAGGCAAACGCGCGGGCCCGCCTGCGACGTCACAATGACGGATGCTCGCTCACGCCGGCATGGGGCCTGTGCAGCATCACGTCACTGCGCTCACCCTGCGGGCTCCTTCCGCCTCCCAAGGCCTCTGCCTGGGCCAGCAGCCCAGGAAAGTCCACGACGCATGTGTCCCAAAGCCCTGTACAACCCTGGCACACGGACGCCTCCCCGCCCCCAGCAAAGCTCGGGAGGAGCAGGAGACGGGGGAGCAATTTCCAACCGGTTCACAGCTTGAACCTGCGCCCTCCACCCTCCCATTGGGCGCTCTCCGCTGAGAGCCACCTCCCTGGAGTCCGGTTCCCTGGCCCCTGGTGCACAGTGCGTCCTTAGGGCTTAGCTCCTCCCTGTCCAGGCTGTAGCCAGGGGGCAGGAGGCGGCTGGGTTATGGTGGGAGCCAGCAGCAGCCTGAAGATATGCACTGCCTTTCTACATGGTGAGGGATTGGGGCTTGTTCAGTCTGCAGCAGAGCAGAGCGAGGGGGGATCCGAGAGCAGGGGGGCCAGAGAGGCTGGCGAGAGGCTGTTCTCTTGGGGGCAGGTGGCAGAACGGGGAGCAATGGGCTCACCTTGCAGTGGGGGA